GTGGGTTTGGAATTTCCTAGTTAAATTAGGGTTAGGGTTAGAGTGTACATATGATAATATCAACCCCAAACGGGGGGTTTTATATATAAATTCCGAATCCACTTAAATTCTGTTTCCACTTACAACATATATATAAAAACGGCTTAAAAGAAAACTTTGACATGAACATATCCAATGTAAAGAATCAGTAATACGGATAGGATTAGTATTAACTATTCGTGTAGCCAATTGTTTCCATTCAAGCCGAAATTCTTCTCGCCAACTTGTCATACACCGATTATCACGTAGCAATTGTAATCGATCGATTTGACGTGGTATAACTTTCATAACAATAATATAAATGATTAAGTCTAATCGTGCCCGATTGTAACTTGAAAAAAAATTATGCTTCAACACATGCCAGTGGCTTTCAATAGCCATTGTAGTTCTCAGAATATTAAGTTTTGGATTTGAAGCACATGCCCATAGCTTCCACATTTCGGGGTGATACCACTCAGACCAAATATAAGCCCAAACATGACATAAATTATTTTTATAACAATATTCGTATTGTTCCTTTACACTTTCATATCAAATTTGATTTGTATCAAAAAAATTTGGTGTGCGTTCTAATGGTATTAATGGGTGCCACAAAAAATGAGTACGAACCATCTGAAGTATTGTTTCACGGAGATCTTTTTGACAAAAAAATTTTTTTTTGTCATTAGCGAAATTAGGTAATTCCTGGTTTGTAACATTTGCAAATGTACGATTTTGATAAATCGGCTGCCATTCAAAATTAATAATTGGACAAAGCGAATGTGCCTCATAAGTATTATAGTAATTATGAACAATGCCGGTACTTGAAAGTTTTTTCTTTATTGCACGTATTACGTGCCAGTAACATAATTGGATTCTTGCTTTAGTCCAGATTTTATTAGCAGCTGATATTTGGCCACGATCCTTATCCATTAAAATAGTTTCAACATTTTGGATTCCATTGTCTTTTAAATGTTTAAACCATGTCGCAATTGCTTGCGTTTTACTATATTGAAATTTCGGTTCAAGAAATATGATAGGGGAAATCCAGCACCATCTATAAATCCCGATAATCGCATATAATTCAAACTTTAAACGGTTTGTGCCATATGTAGCATCTACTACAATTGTCCTTGTAACCTTACTTGGCAATATGAATAGTAAGGGAGTTATAAAAGCTAATGAGTGTTGATCCTGATAAAGAAGCTTAAAGCTTGATTTATTTTCCAAATATCGTCGAGCTGATTCTAATTGATCATTAGCTAGTCTATATTCTTTTGTTGCAAATTTTTTGAACCAATAGTAAACTTGATGCCGAGTAAGGTATAAAAATCCATCAAGTTGTTGTTCTTTAATATTATTGTAAAGTTGTGGAACCGTTAATAGGCTATTCTTAATAATGTAATCACGAACTTGAGAAGAAACTTCCATCGCTTCCGGTGGTGGATGAAGATAATGATAGATGCTTATTAATCTGAATTGTGCCACCACATGAATATCGAATAATTCTTGGCAATGTATCTCGTTGATTTGAAATTTCAGCAATTCGCGGTTTTTTATTCTTTAATTCTTCACGACAATTGCAATAATAAACAAACGCACTTGATTTTTTTGTTATGTTGAGCTTATGATATATCCAGGAAAACTTATCAGCTTTTGAAATAAGGTTAATTATATGTTGTGCAACATCTTTATTTATACGTATGATCGTCAGAAGTTGAATCAACAATATCTATTAATGGTTCCAAAACAATAAAAAACCTTTTTTCAAATAAATAATCAGGATCATAATCGGTTGGCAAGTTATTCAAAATAAAATCTACTAAATGTTCTGGAGCTATTGCATTTTCTTGATTTATTGCTATGTTTTCATTTTGTTTTGCTTGGTTTTTTAGTTTATTATTTGCAGAAACTTGAACGCGACAATCAGTACATGTTTTTAATTTAGTATCAGAATTTGAATTTTTCCGTTTGTTAGCCTTCAAACTTTCGAAAGCATCATTTGGTTTGTCAAGTTTACAACGATCGCACTTCATAATTTGAAAAAAAGGAGAAAAAAGATTATATTATTAATGCAAATTAAAATTAATATATATATAAGCAAGCTTACGACGTAATATCGATATCTTTCATTATACGTATGTATTATGATGATCATATGTCATGTGATTTTGAAATTTTTTTGGGTGGCGATTCTACCCTTGTCTAAATCAGCTATAGTTAATTACTTAAAAGAGCGAAAGAAATGGTTCTATCGAGGATTTTTAAACAAAAAACGCAATATTATTATTGCTTCGTTATCCAAAAATCTCAACTGAAAAGAGCACGATAATTATTGGGCCTACAAGTTTATAAACGAATCAAAGAACATTTTGAAAAATCATGATTTTATAGCTTTAAAGAACAAGGTACATTTCTTTTTATGATCAAAGTAAGAGTAACTCCTATAGAGTAGCGAATATAGTTAATACAGTAGAAAAATTCATTGATTGCTATATTATAGTTAGAGAAGTCACGATTAAATTTGATTGGTGATTTGATTATCTCTAATTACAATGCCGAAAATTTGTAATTTTTTTAGTATTAACTATATGAAAACGTCCTTGGGTAGGAAAATTACTGAATTATGATAATTTGGTAATCATTCCAAGTGTTCCTGATTCAGGTCTTTGACTTTGGCTAGAACAGAATCTATTATTCTTGAGAGAAAA